TTTTGCCACACAACCTCAAACAGGAATCCACCTACCGCCTGCCTCTAAAGTAGCTGGAATTACAGCCTGGCAATGCCACACCCAGACCTGGTGCTTCATTTTTTAAACCTCACTTGCCCAGCCTCCCCAACCCTTGTATCCTTCCATGGGGAGGGAAGGTGTAGGTGAACTCCTGTACTTCTTTGCCTTTCTCTTGTGAATTAAAACTGTTTCTAAAAAGCAAGGTAGGAAACACCTGCGTTGTGTGCACAGACTCTGGATCCAGGGAGCCCTCGGGGAAGGGGTGGGAAGGTCAGAGCCCTGCGCACTGCAGTCCCAAAGAAAGTGGCGAAGTGGGTGGCAGAGGCCAAGCGGCCTGTGGTCACAGCTCGGGGCACTGGGTACGGAAATCCGGCCTGTGGCAGGGAGAAGGGAAGATCGCGAGCTGTTCCGGAGCTCGGGTCCCCGGGAAGGCTTGGGGGCCGGGAGTGGCGGCGGGGGTTAGGAGGAGGGGGCGAGGGCGGACCCCAGTCCCGCGGCTGAGTGTGCGGGGAGGAGTAGACGCGTGAGTAGAGGCCGCCCTAGTCCGGCCTCGGCGGGGCCCGGGCATCGGAGCGGGAAGGCGCCAGGGGCGCCGGGCGAGCGGCCGCGCCTCCACGCCGAGCACTTGGGGTGGGGGCGCCCCCGGCTGCGCGCGCAGGGCTGGCGGCGCGCGGGGCGCAGGGCTGGGCGGGCGGGGAGCCGGGGCCCCGGGCGCGCGGGGCCGCGCGATCGACCTTGGCCTGCGGGGTGCCCGAGTGGGGAGCCGCCCGGGGGCGCCCAGGCCTCGGGGTGCGGGGCCGGGCCCAGAGGACGCGAGCCATGGCCTTGGGCTGATTGTGATTGGGTAAGTCCTGATGGGGAAAGGCGGCGGAATGAGGTCCCTGTCGTGTCCTAGTTCTGGGCGGTGTGCGTGATTTTTTTTCCTGCCAGCAAAGGCGGAATCCATCGGGTCTGCGTTTCCCCGCATCCATTCATGAAATCGTGGCGTTCTGACATCATCCGGACTTCCCAAGTCAAGTTGCTCACTTGCTCATTGCGGCTGAGGTCGCTTCTCCATCAGTCCCCAGCTGGAGTATAGGCTCAAGTGGCGGAGTACTTACTTGCCTAGCATAGGAGAGGAGGTATCTGTAAGTGTGCACACTTTCTTACACTGTATAGAATATGTAGGAGTTGATATTTTATAGGGGATTGAATATGTTCAGCATTGAGCATAACAGATCAATGCTTGGTTAGAGGACAGAGAAACCTAAAAGTCAGAAGATAATGTAGCAAAGACAAGACATATTTTATAGACTGGTCTGCATTCCCAATAGCAGTATCTTGTGGTTCCTGGAGAGCGGTGGAGGTCAGTAGTCTGTATCCTCGTATGAGCTCCCTCCCCATCTTCTCAGTGACCTTGGGCAGTCTGAGCTGTGGCTCAGATTCTTCTTCACCCACTTTTTTTTGAGTTTCGTGGTCAAATCCTTTATTATTACATTCATCTCTGAAGTTGAAGAAGTTCGACCAGAAGGTACAGGGCTGGAGAAGAGCAGGGGAGAAGAAAGTTGGGAAAATGGTGTGGAATAAGGCAGTTTTTAAAGCAGCCATTTTATAGAAATCTGTGCTGTCTCTGCAAAGCTTCCTGTTTTCCCTGCTTCTAGCCTCAGCCCCTGTCCGTCTCAGTTACACCTTTAATGATAGAACTGCCGGCCTTGGAAAGGATGTGTCAAGTGAACAGAGAAATTAACTCCTCCGTTTTGAAAATAATTTTCTTCTTAGTTTGAATACAGTTTTCCCACAGGAAAAGTATGAGTGTTCTAGAGGAAGAAATTACTATTCATTGAAAACAAAACAAACAAGGTGGTCTGCTTTCAATTAGTGAATTTTTTTCTCAAGTTGCACAAAAGCCAAGGAGGAGCTAGAAGCAAGAGAAGTGGTTGTGAACAGAGCAGAGGCTGAGTTCGTTTGTGAGACTCATTTTGGGGCCTATCAGCTACTCAAAGAAGTGCTGTGATTTTCTTCATAAAGCACTTAAAAATTCCCCAGAAATGTCCTGAATTTGGAGACTGTTTTAGTATCTGGTCACAATATAATCTTTTGCTTTTAAGCATGAACTTTCAGAATAATTACAGAGCAAAAATGTGTTCTGTGTTTGAGTCACTTATCCTTGCCTATTGATTCACTAAACTGAAAGTAATGCTAGTGTGACAAGTATTATTTTAGGTGCTACAGATAAAAAAAATTAATAAGGTGACAAGATCACCCTAGAGATTGATACAAAATCCTAAGAGAAGTACTATTTATTTCTAGCACAGATTATATAGAAATCTTTTTTTTGTTGTTTTGGTGGTACTGGGGTTTGAACTTAGGGCCTTGTGCTTGCTACGCGATGCTCTTCCACTTGAGTCATGCCTTCAGCCGTTGTACAGACCCTTTATATACTTTATTTCATGTCTCACAACCTTGCCAAAAAAGTTGACCGTCCAGTAGTCCCTTATCTGAGGTTTTGGTTTCTGCAGTTTCAGTTGTCTTTATTCAGCCGTGGTCTGAAAATATTAAATGGAGAAGTTTGGAATGGCATGATGACATCTTACCCTACCCGGCTCCATGTGCCCTTGTTCATCATATACAGGGTGTATACACTACCTGCCCCCGAGTTACTCGGTAGCCATCCTAGTTATCAGATTGACTACCATGCTGTCATGTTCAAGTGACCCTCATTTTATCATAATGTCCTCAAAGCACAAAGAGTAGTGATGCTGACAATTTTATTTCAGTATTTGTTCTGCTTTACTGTTGTTATTGCTAAATTTCTAAATTTAACTGTCAAAGGTATGTGTACAGTGTAGGAAAAAACATAGCATTCAGTACTATCTGCAGTGTCAGTCATCCGTGGTGGGTTTTGGAAAGCATCCTCCGGGAGAAGGTTGGGGCTCCTGTATTGTCATTGTGCTGCATATGTGAATATCAAGTCCAGGAGAAGAGAAGCAACTTCTCAAAGTGTCAGTGAAGACACCCTGAAGGAGCAATATATTAGCTTATTCATCATGCTGAGTTTTAAAATTATTCCTCAAAAACATGTTACCTCTTATCTACGTATATAGTTCTTATTGTTCAAACAGATCTCCTTGATGTAAATTTTAAGTTGGTTTTTGGAAAACTATTTTATTTAAGTATTTTTCTGTTTACCTAAAAGTTGAGTCACGATGTAAATGATAAATAATTAATGATTTTTAAACAACTGGACAGAGTAAAGGTAAAACAGTTTATTAGAATAAAGGATTGCACTATGTTCTTTTCTTGGCACCTTTACTTTTATACCTTTACCTGCAGAATTATTATTAAGACAACTAACCAGTAAGGAAAAGGAAAAAAATCAGATAATTCTAGTCTGTTGTATCTCTGGAAGGCAGAGGTTCTTGATTAATCTCTGTTTTATAGTGTCAATTTGGTTTTAAAATTCCCTTTTTTGTAGAGTTCTGTAGGTACATAAGAAGGGAAGGATTTATTCCATTTATATTAAAAAATACAAAGTTTGAAAATTAGGTACCATTTTAATTAAAAGCAAAACCAGTGCATGCCACAGTGGTGTCCTTGTTAGAAATATTGAAAGTTGAAAGCTTTTTTCTCCAGTTGATTCCCTTACCTTTATATATATATATATATTTTAAGTTTCTCTTTTTTTTCCCTTTAATGTTTTGCTAGTTAAGGGTGCATTGTGACATTTACAAAGGTTCTTACAATGTACCAACTATGTCATACTTAAGTTCACCCCCTCCACCACTCCTCTTTATCTTCCTCTCCCCTCGATTCATGCAGCAGTTTCAACAGGTATCATTAGTGCATTTACATGAATCTGTACACATTTTTTGTACCATATTCACTCTCTTATCCCCTTTTCCCGCCACCTCCCCCTCTATGGGAAAATTGATTTCCACTAACAAAATGGAATAGTTTACTATTAAGCATGAGGAAGGTAACTCTACAAGAGGGGAGTAAGCATTTTAAGAGGTTCATTGAGAGGACATTTCAATGATTAACATGAACCGTGCTTCATAGTTAAGCTTACTAGTTTACTTAAAATTAAGATTTTTTTCTGCTTTAATTCTCCATTAAATTTTAATGTTTTCAAATGCTCTAAAACTCAGAATGCTAAAGAAAAGAGAGTTAGAACTTTTTGTGACTTCTTAGTAAGTGAAAAAAATTGTTATATTTCTGGTTTTTAGTTGGAATGTTGGTGGGGTATTACAGATACAAGGGGACCTGGTCAAGGGACAGCATGAACCCGAGTCTGTCTTTTCTTTGTGGAGCCATATACCTCAGAGAAAGACTGTGTCTGAAATACCGTCAACTGTTTGGAGGAAATTTTACTTCTTTGGTTGAGTCACCAAAGGTTGTTATTGTTTTTTTCTAGTTCTCATAAAGATGTATGTAGGTTATTGGCAACTTTGAGTCTAAGAGAAATTAAAATGGCAAGGTCATAAGCCTCCGTTTCCTGAGGATGTGTGGTATATGTGTGTGTGCACATGTTTGAGGAAGGGATATGGCAAGAGAAGAGGAATAACCTCACACAGAAGGAAATTTAGGCCTGGTGTGGTGGCTCATAGCTGTAATCTCAAGCTACTCGATAGTTGGAGATCAGGAGGATTGCAATTTGAGGACTGTCCTGGCAAAAAGCTAAAAAAAAAAATCTCAAGAAACAAGCTGGGCATGGTGGTTTATGTCTTTAATCCCAGCTACATGAGAAGCATGGGTAGGAGGATCATGATCCAAGGCCAGTCCTAGCAAAAATATGAAAATTTATCTGAAAAAAATAACTGAAGCAGAAAGGGCTGGGGGTGAGGCTCAAGTGCTAGAGCATTTGTCTATCAAGAGTGAGGCCTGAAGTTCAAACCCATTACCACACAGACCAAAAAAAAAAAAGGAAATTTATGAGTTTTAATGAAGGAACCTGAATTCTTCCATTAAGGAGACTTTTCATGTTTTATTTTATTTTTCAGAAGAGGCCTGTCAGAAGTATGTAGAAAGCAAAGATTTCCTGTGAAAAGCAAAGATCCTTTACCTACGAATTTTACAAGAAATGTGCAGAAAGCCATAGATAAGTATACCTGGTGAGAATTAACCTGTTAATTGCTGCTGGTGAGAAAATAAAAACAATATACTTAATAGGGTTGAGAGTGGCATGGTGGTAGAGGACCTGTCTAGCTAGCCTGAGGCCCTGAGATCAGACCTGAGTACTAGCAAAAAGAATGCCAATAATAACCATAAACAAAAGCACTGATTAGGCACCAGGAACATCTAAAAGTAAAAGGGAGTTTTATTTTTGACCTAGTAAAAATGCTACATTTAATTAGCAAATATAATTAAGGAAAGAAGCAGTTTATGGGCCTAGAGAAGCCAAACCTCTTGCTTGACCTGTCGTTTCATCTCTTCCCAATAAGTGTTATCTCTGTCACTTATGTTCATTCATTCCTACAGTGAATCGCCGTCATCATTCTCGTCCAGTGGCAGTTGCACACCCACTGGCGCACACAATTCGTGGTCGGCCTCTTCCACGCAGAGTTCCACCACTGGCTTGTCTACTGAGAGGAGCTCAATTTACTCTTGGAGAGATGATGTATGTCTCAGAACAGTCTGAGTAATCCTGTGATTGCAATTTATAATGAATCACTTTCTTTATGTGTTTACTTGTTTGCTTATTTATTTATTTATTTGAGACAGGGTCTTGCTCTATAGTCCAGGCTGGCCTCAAACTCACAATCCTTCTGCCTCAGCCTTCTAAGTGCTGAGGTTACAGGCATGAGCTACCAGATCTGGCTAAGAATTGCTTTTTTAGCTTTAAAAAAACCTTTTAATCATTTATAAAAGCACTATTACGTATTCATAATAAATAAATATTTTTGGAAAAAATTAAAATACTGAACTATAGAGAAAATTTAAAGTTATTTATAATCTCACAGCCCAGAGTCTTAGCTGTTGATAATTTTTCCTTCCCTGCAACCCTCTCCTCCAATATGTTATCTGTGATTCTTGTGTGCTATCTATGACTGGAAGTTCAGGATAAAACCCTGACAATTAGGAACTCATACCTTTTGGAAAGGTAAAAGCTGTGAAGCATCAACATGACTGGAGAATTTCTCCCCAGTATGCTAAGCCACATATTATACTTTTATCAGCTAATTCTGGGGAAAGCTGTTAACTTTAACCCCACTTTGGGTCTTTGTGACAGTGGGATTCTTAGCTGGCTGAGATTTTAGCTAGCGCTACAGCTTTGCTGAGAATGCCTTTTCCCCTCCAGCACTCTGTGCATCCAGGGACACAAAAGTCCACCTGTATATGGAGGAGCCTTCACTACTTCACGACTCCTTGGTTGTGGTGTGGTTTTCCTCGCTTCCTTTTCAGAACAGTTCTCTACTCCTCAGAGCACATCTGTATTTCCTTCCTCATGTCCGTTGACAGCCGTGATTCTCAAAGGACTGGCAGGAAAAGGCGCATGGGAGGGTTCTGGGAGCGTCAGCTCAGAATCATTCAGAGAGCCTGGGAAATGAGGCATGATCCCCTTCACTTGTGATCCACTGGTCCTTCTTCCCACCCTCATGCCCACTCCCTGCCATTTCCTCCCAAATCTGTTGTCTTGTGGCTATGGCCCTGGGAAGAAGGTCAGAGCCATTGCTCCATTCTATCCAAATTCTTGGATTCTGTCCATACAATTTTTCATAGAATTATCTAGGGACACTCTTTTGACTTCCACTTACCTGTTTTAAACTAAACAAGACCTTACAACTGCTTATTTTAATTAAAAAATTTTATTTTCTTTTTGGTAGGAAATATTTTCAAAAGCAAGAAAATGAGATATCGAGAAATGAGCCCCTGCCTCAGCCACCCAGGCCCTCCTAGGAGACAAATATGATTAACTTTCCCCTTACTTGCATTTAAAAAATAATTCAACTCCTCTGTAATCTGGGAAACTAACTTATAATTAATTAGAGAGAAGAACTAACGCAAAATAGTAACAGGTATGCCATGAAAATCAACTTGATTTGACCATTTGGGGCCAGGTATGTCCAGTTGGATATGCACTTTGTTGCTTGGAATTGTGGGTTAGATTTCAGATTCAGCTAATCCTAGAAGAAAACCTGGTCAGGACTTTGGCACTGGAGTCTGCTTATGCAAGGTTGGTCCTCCCAGTTATAGTGATGTTTAGGGACTGTTACCTAGACACCATCCAGGGAGGCTGAAAGGCTGTTTTTTAAAAAATCTATAATCTACTGCTGCAATTGTGCAAGAGTCTGTTCAAGTCAAATGGAAAAAATTCATACTCTAATAAACACATCTCTTAAGATAACTCTGGATTTTTTTTCTGCCCTATCAATTAAAAGAAGGTTAATGGCCTTTCCTACAAAAGTAATTTCTTTTTCCATGGCATCATCAGAAGAAAAAAATAGCTTGTATTTTGTAGGCATGCTTAGGTGCATCAGGTACATATGTCTTTGTACATCATATATGTGTGCAGACACATGAGTGTGGGTAAGTCTATGCAACTTGTGATGTTCATGTGAATATGTGTACTGACCTATATTGATTTCTCTATAAAATTTCAAGTCTCATAACTCATATTGTAGAAGTTATTTCTATTTCAAAGTTAAGGAATGTGAGACTCAGAGTAAGATGTGATTAATCTGAAAAGTAAGATTTGGTGCATCTGACTGCAAAGTCCACATTCTTTTTGCCTTGTTTTACTTCCTCCTATATAATAAATTTTTAGAAACATAAGTGTCCTTGATATTGGAGCTCGTGTTTCTGTCAGTTTACAACAGAAAACTAAATACACATTTCTGTTTCAGGAATTTGACAGAGCCAATGCACAGAAAGTACAGCAGCTATTTTGTGAGGTTGAGGAGATGCTATTTGAAGGGAAAGTAAGCGCTGAGAACCAGAATCTGCTGGCCGAATGCAGGGAGTGGGCAAGAAGATCCCGCCATCTGAGGTACGAATATGTCCATAGAATTCTCTGGAATGGGTTTTTGTTCTCCTCACTCCTGATACGAGTTTTTACTGGAAGTGTTGGCTGAGTCAAAGTATGTATCCAGAACACAGCCCTTGACTAACAAGTTGCATCCTTTGCTGTGGTGCCTGATGAAGCCTTACACCTGCCAACACTCAAGTGTGTTTTAATGTGTCAGGAGCAAATTTAACTGATTCTCAGAAGGGATCATGTACAAACAGAATGAAGAATGGTACATATGTTCTTTTACCTTCCTTCCCATTCGCTGCATATGAGCAGCAGGTATCCATCATCCCTGAGACAATTACTCTGTCTACTGAGGTGGGCTCAGTAGACAGAGTAATTATTTGAGTGACTGGAGAGATGAGCCTTTCTGTGTCATAGCCATTCCTGATTTAGGGGGATCATTTGTTATTTTTTCTATCAAAGTTGGGAGGAGAAGTTTTGCTTTCCTCACTCAGTCACAACCTACTTAGGGGAACATCCATCTCGTTTTCTCACATTCCTCTGTATGGTATCTGGGGAGAATGAGTTGAGACACTCATATAGATGTGCATGAATTTTCTGGTTATCTTGATGAGGCAACTAAAAAACCAAATCTTAGCCACAATGGTGGTATGTATCTGTAATCCTAGCACTCCAGAAGCTGAGGCAGGAGGATTGCAGCCTGGGGTACATAGCAAGACCCTGTTTCAAAAGCCAAACCAAAGCAAAATAAAATATCTTGACTGGTTATTTTTTTAATCCTTCATAATACCTTTCCTTAAAGAGTATAGCATGTCTCCTGGCTGTTAATTTTAGACAGGTACTTTTCTGGGGATAGTGCACTTAGCCAAAGGGCAGGGACACAGGCTTCTTCTTGTCACCATTATCTTACATTGTTAAGATAAAATGAAGAAGGGAAGGTGGAAAAAGAAAAGATGGCAAAGTACACAAGCCAAGCGTACATGTTTATATATTTTCATGGGCGAGGTGTACATCAGTTAACATTTGTAGAGAGCTTCTCCAGGCCTGCATTACTTTAGACACCTGAGCTGGGCATACTGTACCTCTTAGCCATCCATCAGTCCTGCCTGGTAACCATGATTCTGTTTTGCATCTGGAAAGCAAAGAAGCAACTGAAATCAGTGGCTAGGAGAGCCAGAGAACTTGGCTCTGACTCTCAGTCCATGGTCAGAGCTGACTGACCTGCCCTCTCAAAGCAAGGCTTTTTCTCCTGCATCAATACTTACCACAAGGGAGGGGTGAGGATAGGTAAGACACCTAAAAAACTAGCTAGCATTTGTTGCCCTTAATGCAGAGAAACTAAAGCAGATACCTTAAAGCAACTGAGGCCAATAGGAAAAGAGGACCAGGAACTAGAGAAAAGGTTAGATCAAAAAGAATTAACCTAGAAGGTAACACCCACGCACAGGAAATCAATGTGAGTCAATGCCCTGTATAGCTATCCTTATCTCAACCAGCAAAACCCCTTGTTCCTTCCTATTATTGGTTATACTCTCTCTACAACAAAATTAGAAGTAAGGGCAAAATAGTTTCTGCTGGGTATTGAGGGGGGGAGCGGGAGGGGGTGGAGTGGGTGGTAAGGGAGGGGGTGGGGGCAGGGGGGAGAAATGAACCAAGCCTTGTATGCACATATGAATAATAAAAGAAAAATGAAAAAAAAAATACTTACCACAGCACATCCTGCCTGTGTCTTCAAATCACGAACTGTATCCTACTGGTGAAGTCACACAACATTTTCCCCTTATTTTATCAAAGATATTAGCAGCTTTTTGGTATTTTTCTCTTGCAGAGTATTAGGAAAACAGCTCATTCCACCAACTGATGAAGGGTTCCGACATTTCCAGGGGAGTGTGCCTATTTCTGCCAGCCTCAAATCCTCACCTGATGCCCCTGAACACAGCAGTGATGTCAGAGGGTATGTTCCTCTATGCGACTTTCAAAAAATACTTGTTAACCGTATTTTAGTTACTTTTCATGTTTTTCTCATCCATCAGCCTTGGCTCCAACAGAGAAGCAAATTTAGACTTCAGTGAAGGACAGGTGCAGAATATGTTTTTCACAAGATGCTTGTGTTTGTATGTCTGTATTCGAGTGTGTATGTATATAAAATATAATTAGAGGAGATAAACCAATTGGGAGTATAACACATACATGCAAGAAAATATCACAAGGGAACTGCCTGTGTAGCTATTTTTTGCTCAAACTAGCAAAACTATCATTTAAAAAATATTTTTTCTTCTGCAAAATCGGAGAACAGGAGGGCAGAACACGTCCTGCCCAAGAGGGAGGATTGGCACCAGTGGGGGGTGAAGTGGTGGGGAATGAGGGTAGGAGAGTGAATATGATGCAGAAATTGTGTACATGTGCATGTAAATGCACAAATGGTATCTGCTGAAACTGTTCCATGAATCAAGGGAGGGGGAATAAAGGAGAGCTGTGGAAGAGGTGAATTCAAGTACATTGTAAGAACCTTTGTAAATGTCACAATGTACCCCTACCCAGCACAACACTAAAGGAGAAGTATATGGAACATGCATACACAGAAAAGAGTTAATTTCAAACTTTGTTCCAAAGGCACCATAAAAGGTGGGCTAGAAGCAGAATAAAACTTAAAGACTGCTTCGTCATGATGTGTCCTAAGCCTCTAGACAGCCAAAGGAATAAACTTCTGCCCTGTTTTGGTTTGCTGTATTCTGTTATTTTGCATACTAATAGATTTTGATAAATCTCCATATATCTTCATACATATTCGGAACTGTGCTGTAATATTCTTTCATTATAGCACAGAGGATACAGACACATAGACTACTTTAGGGTTTTAAGAAGCCTTTAAATTTTTAAATGATACCTATATTATAATTCTTTTAAGGATATGAGCTTTTTCAAACGTAACGTCTAATGATTTTGCATTTGAGAGTCTTCCTTTATAGATAATTGAAAGATCCGCCATGATCACTCAAGCATTGCATTCTTGATATTCTACAAACTCCCAAGCAGAATCTGCTTTTCCCATAGGTTGTGCATCTCTGGCTCTCAAATAGTCGCAGCAGCACTGTCAGCCTCTACCCTGCCAGGACCTGATGGCACAAGGCTTGATGCATGTTCATCCCTGGAAGAAGAGGTCTACAATGCAGATGGGAAGATTGAAGAGTATTTTGCTTTTGACAGAAAAGAGGAGTAAATTGAATTTATTTAACATTTATTTCATTGTGTAATACTCATTTATTTGATGCTTATTTTATTTTATGCTTATTTAGTGTTTTGTGTACTTTTTACTTATCCAAAAGATTTATTTTGAGAGTAACAGACTCCCCAAAGTTTTCAGATTTCTAGCAGGAAGCATACATGCTAGAACAGTACTTCTGTTTCTTAACAGCATGGCACAGATAGAAAACAAGGGCTGTACCTAAAATACTGGTGAAAATGGGCAAGGTTCTGGTGGACTTGTGCCCAGGGGCTCTAGGTTCTTTAGAGTTAGCTACCTGAAAGGGAAAAGGAATTTCCAGTCTCTGCCCTAAGTGCATATTTTTGTTCTTAAACAAAAGCTACAAATATAGTATGATAAAAATTTGCTTCGTGATTAAATTGATATATGCTAATATGCCTTAGCAAATATAAGAAAATATCAAGCATCTATTCTGACCACAGTGATATAAAAATAAAAGCCAATAGCAGGAAGAAAACAGGAATATTCCTCAATATGTAGAAATTAAACATCATACTCCTGAACAACTGATAAGTCAAAGAAGAAACCAAAAGGGAAGTAAGAAAAGATTTCAAGTCATGAAAATAGAAATACAGCCCAGCAAAGCTTACAGGCTACACAAAACCAGTTCTATGAGGGAAGTGTGTAGAAATAAATGCCTACGTTTAAAAAGTAAGAAAGATCTCAAGTAAGTAAACTAATTTTACAGAAGGAATGAAAAGTGAAGAATAAACTAAGCCCAAATTTAGTAAAGGAAAGAAATAACAGAGATCAAAGCAGAAATAAAGAAAAATAGAGAATAGGAAAAAAAAATGGAACAGATCAATGAAGCTAAGAGTTGTTTTCTCTTGTTTGTTTTGTTTGTCCCAGCTTTATTGAGGTACAATTGAGAAATGAAAATTGTATATATTTAAAAACTAACAATGCTGTTTAAAAAGTGTATTGTGTATATTAATGTCTATATGTACACATGTACATGCTTGCATGAAGATAGACAGATAGATAGATGGATAGATAGATAGAGAGAGAGAGGTTGACTATTTTAACTTTAACTGTGGATACTTTAGTAACTATAGGGGCTTTCATCCTCAGGGGCGATGAACGTCTTGAACAAAAACCAGCTCATCATCTCAGAAAGTGGCATAAACATGGTCTTCCTCCCATTTCTCCTCATGACTGTATCAAAGAGGCGGTGGCAGCAGAAGTGTTTGATCATGTTTGGACAAATGTGGTAGAAATATTGGAAGACCTTATTAGGAAAAACTGGGAAAGTTCAAAAACAGGTACTTATTTGTAGAATTTGGCCTTCTAAAAAGAATAAAAAAGACCCTCTGATTCTCAACTCTCTGCTCCCCACCTCTGCTTGGCCACACCTAGAGTATGCCTAGGGTGAGAAGTGGACTTTGTCTTTACTCACAGGTGATATTTAACCACTTCAAAAAAGACATTATTATTTTGTTGTTATAAAAATAAAACACATGCATTCTGAAAAAAACAAATAGCCAAAAAAGAAAGTTGAAGTCACTTTTCATTGTGGTTAAAAACCTCACCTAATTTCAATAATTGGATATTTGTATTTAATTACTTATGACCTTATTTATAAATATAAACATGACTAATTTAATACTTATTTCATTTCATTATGAAGATAAGTATTTTTAATACTTGTCTTCATTTTAGCAAATAAAACGTTCTCTAGATCAATTAAAATTGAGCAGAAACAAATCATAGAAATATGGACAGTGGACAATGATGACTAGTTTCATGTAACCAGTTGATACAATAAGGAAATAAACATGTTAATTTTAATACTTTTCCAAGGGGATTGGATGGACTTTTATAAAATACTGACAATATTGTATCAGCTGAAGCCATATTGTTTTTCTACATAACACTAAAGTGATTATCACATTAGTCAACTATCCACATGGGGTGTCTGCTCTCTACCTTAATTTTCTTTAATTAAAGGCCATTGCATAGACTCATGATAACTCAAAAACAAATACTTTCTTTGATGAGTGAAATTTTAGTATTTGTATTAGGTAACCTGGTATTTCTTAATGTTTTTTCTGTTGACATAGAAGGAAAAAAACAGAAAGAGAAATTGAAAGTAGTTGAAAATAGATCTCCACATGTACTCATTTCTCGTTTCACCACTGAGGTATCAAGTGGTCCCCCATCCACAAGTTCTGAAACTCGCAGCGCGTTCCTGGCTTCTCATCTTAACCCACCCCAGGTGTGTGCACTGCATCCTTTTTCTTTCTTTTGATGTTTACACCTCTTGTCTCAGTGTGTCAAGAGTGCTCGTCAATTAAGTGTGATTATAGCAAGACATTTGAATGTTTGTTGACATCCTTAAATATAATATGATTACTTCATGATGTTTAATAGAATCCTTAACACTCTTTTTTCTCCTTCCCTGTCATCTTATTCTTCTTATTAGTATATATTAAGTATAAAATGGGATTTCAAATTTACCCTCTTTATTACTATTTCATGTCTCCCTTCAAGCCACTCCTTTTTTTAGTTTTAGTGGGTCTCATTATGCTATTTTCATACATACATCTAACATACTTCAATGTTATTCCCTCCCCCTTCTACTAGTCCCCTCCACAAATAGTCCCCCTTTTACATAGAATCACTGCATGCTTTAATGGACTTGGACACTATTTTGAGATATTGAACAATTTTATCTATCTTGGGAGAACAAAACAAAATACTTTCCCTAAACTTCTAGGCACTTTGAAAGTTACAGACAGATTCCTCTTATTGTACCAAAGTGATAAAAGAATCAATCGGTGCACATTGGACTCATTGAACATTTACTCTGTGTATTAAGTGTATATATGGGATGTTTTAGAGCTATACAGATTAATAAGACATAGTCCCTGACTAGTGAAACAAAATGGTAACACAAAGTCCAGATGCAATTCATTTTGTGAGGGATGTGCAAGACATCTTTTAAAAAGCACTGTAGAATAATCGAGGAGAGAATGATTTATCCTAATTGGAGGAAGAAGATTGATCTTTTACATTGGAGGTAAAATATCAGCAGAAATGAAGGAATGAGGAATTCTTATGGTTGAGAATTCTGGTTCAGTCATTTCAGGTCAGGCAAAGGTGTGGCTTAATGAAAGATGGATATGTTTGGTGACCAGTGACTGAACTTAAAGATAGAAAACTGGGAATAGGAGGACATAATGACAGAAATGGGATTTAGAGTCAAAAAGCTTATGCAAAGTATTTTTGAATATTTAACATTTCTAAACTTCAGCCTTTTTATCTGTATAATGATGATAATAATGTGTTGTCTAAAAGATTGTTGTAAGGATCAAACCATGGAAATGGATGAGAACGCCCAACATAGAACTTGACATATGCTAACCACTCAATACATTTTTCATGAATTGTGTCCTCATTCAAAGATTTGCTAGCAGGTGAGGCTGGAAAGAATAGGATCATTGATTTCCTGCAGATACTAGCAACTGAAGGCTGCCAGTTAACTACACTCCTTCAATTGAATGATAAGTTCTCTCTTGAAGGGAGATCTGAAGGCATATCCCAAGCCTGATGCCACTAGTAGCATAGATCAGATAGAACACTATCAGATCGACAAAAAGCAGCAATGACCTTTAAAGGATCATGCAATTCAAAGTGAAGAAACTAGATGGCGGCTAGAGGGAGGAAGCAGAAAGCGTGCTTCCTAAAGTAAAATCTTGGAGAGATGCTGGAGATGCACCTTACATGAAAAACCACTGAGAAGAGGCAAAACACTGACTTCTCCACACCTCCAGCCTGCACAGAGCATCTCCACTTCACTTTACAGTGAGAAACCAGGATGGCATCCACCAGATGCCAGCACCCAGACAGCTTGGGAAGACACAGACCACAAGGTGAGCTAAGCTGTACACAGTATTCCCACAGACAACCCTGGGCCAGATCAGCATAGCCTCCTGGACAGACCAACACCCACCCAGGGAAAAAAAGAGAAACTGAATAATAAGCAATAACAAAGAAAAAAAAAAGAAAAAGAAAGACACGTAGCAAAGAGGGTGGGGTGCCCTGAGCACCAAAGAGAGGGGGAGGGGAATCCCTCATGGAACTGTAAATAAACAAGCTGGGCCAGAGAAGGCAGGAGCGGCTGCACACACCCAGCATCCAGGAGTGGGAAAGCCTGTAAAAGCGGCGGAGGGAGGAAAACTCCACAAGAGAAGGGGGAAGACCCACTTCCCACGTGAACTGTAAATATACACGCTGGCCTGAGAAAGCTGGTGCAGTGTCACCTTCCCCAGTGTGCTTGGAAAGGGGAAAGCTTGTAGCAGTGGCTCAGGCACAGGAGAACTCTGAGTAAACAAAGCCTGTAGGGCCAGGTGAGTGTTAAGCTTACTCCTGAGATTTGCATAAATAACGCCTCCAGCAACAGCAGGCTGAGAGCAGCAGGCAGGCAAGCCACAGCCACAGATAGCCATTCACAGAACTGTCTCCAGACTCTTTTTTTTCTCTCTCCCTACCTTTGATTAGAAAACAACTGAACTACACCTGCATGCTGAAAAACTTACTGAAACTGTATTGCATTTGAACTTGGGACACTTTGTGGGGTTTTTTTGTTTTGTGCAGTTTTGTTTTATTTTGGTTTTTCCAGTTTTTTTCCCCTTTGATGAGACACCACAGAAGTACTTCTGAAGCACCATCTCCAGGATTGGAGGCTGAGGGACGAACACCAAATTATTAAGACTGAAACTTTATTGCATTTGAACTTGGAGACTTCATATATATATAAAATTTAATTTTTTTCATTTATTTATTTATTTATATTTTTTATATTTTTTATTTTATTTTTTTATTTTCAATCCTCTCTCTGTCTCTCTAATGCCTGTTCAACTTACGGTTGATTAGTACACTATCTCTCTCTGTTTATATCTTTGAAACTTTTTTTGTTTGTTTCTTTGGTTTTTTCTACTTGTTTATTTGTTTTTCTCTTTTTCTTTAACTTCTTTGCTTTCCATCTCCTTTCACCTTTCCATTCTAAATATCACCAGTGCTATTATTACAAGCTAGAAAATACTTAATTGCACACAGTACAGGGAAAATAACAACACCAAGAGCAATGATGGGAAAACAGAAAAACCAGGGAAACCAGTTTCCCTATTTAGTACAGGAACCAGAGGGAAATAAAGAAAACAGATACTCAGATCCAGACTCCAATGAAATGAAGATAAACTATGCCAAAGAACCCAATGAAGCCCACAAAAATAATCTAAAAGAAGACATACTACAGGTAATCAATGAGAATTTTATAGAGATGGTACTGGATAGGGTCAACCAAAATGTACAGGAGACACTCAAGAAATTTCCAAGACAATAAATAGAGAATTTGAAAAACAAAAGAAGAAATAAAGGAAACCATACAAGCACTGTATAAACACCAAAGTGAAACAAAGAACATGATTAATAAAGAGATAAATGAACTCAGGACAAAAATAGACAACATTAAAGAGGAATCCATCCAGGATACGGAAAACCTTAGAAAAAAGAAAGAAACAGAATTGCAAAACAAAATGGAAGCCAATCCAGCAGAAAAGAATAAACAGAAGACAGAATCTCAGAACTTGAAAGATTGAAATGGTAATTAAAGGAAAAAACAAAGAACTATTGAGTTAAACAACTCAAGACCTGTGAAAAGAAAATGCAAAAAACTCACCATCCATCAAAGACCAAACCTGAGAATCATGGGCATGAAGAAGGAGAAGAGGTGCAAGCAAAGAATGTGTAATATATTCAAACAAACAATAACAGAAAATTTCCCAAATCTAGAAGAAAGATATTCCATACAGATGCAAGAGGCCTCCAGGAACACCAAACAGACAGATCCAAAATAGAACTACCCCATGGCATATCATCATTAAAACAACAAGTACAAGAACTAGAGAAAATATTGAAGGCTGTAAGAGAGAAAAAACAAATAACATACAAGGTAAACCCATCAACATCACAGCAGACTTTCAACAGAAACATTAAAAGCAAGAAGAGCTTGGGGTGAGATCTTCCGGGCACTGAATGAAAATAACTTCAACCCCCGGCACTCTACCCAGCAAAACTATCATTCAAAATAGATGGAGCAATAAAAGTACTTTCCATGATAAGGCAGAAACTAAAACAAATATGTGAACCACAAAGCCACCACTACAAAAGATTCTTCAAGGGATTTTGCACACAGCAAGTGAAACCAAACATAACTATGAAAGGACAGGCAGCACCAAACCACAGGAAAAAAGAAAAGCAAGACAGTTAGAAGAGTAACCTCAACTTAGGTACACACAATCAACCTTAAACCAACTAAGACAATTAAATGACGAGGCAATCACCACATACCTATCAGTACTAACGCTTTAATGTT